TGAATTGAATCGAAATCGGTTCAACATATTAATAGTTACATCTGTACTAGTAACCCAACTTACAGGTCAAATATTTTTCTTTTCTTGCGAAGTTATTGAATGTATTAGTTTGGTCTGAGACACTGAGATGCTCTATTGGCAACACTGGGAGCAGTAATAGGGGGGCAGCAAAGCTTGTTCTCGACACATGACAGGAAGTTTGACGGTGTGAAATTAATGCTGGGGAGGCTCACGGCCAGCAGAACAAAAACAAAACAAAAACGTGCGAAATACTGTTTTGTAGACTGCCTGCTCAACTTGCAAGCTATACAGCACGTGACGTCAACCAATCGGAGTGCGCGGGACAATCTATATGTTGATTTTGGCATGTCATTCGTAGGCTGTTTTCTCGGTGACTATTATGAATTTCAGAATAATTGAGAACATGCTGAAAGGCTAAAACCTGGGTATTTCGAAAATGTGTTTAAATTGGGTGGCTTAAAAAACGTCCGAGCTGCCCTTTTATAGGGTTGTTCTGGCAGTGTAATGTACAGCCCTTATGGGAAACGATTTCGACATATAGGTACGCACGCAAAGTGGATTAACGTCGGGTGCGGAATTGTTCTCAACCAAAGTCGGAAGAAGTCGCGTTCTATGAGGAAAGTTATCAAAATAAGCATAAGCGCTAAAAGCAATTACATTATTGGTTATCGAGTTATAAATTTGAGGGGACCGGTGACCCAGTGCGTCAGCTCAACGCGGCTTGGAGCACGAGGAGCGAAAACTCCCGCTGCAGAACTATGGGATCCCCCTGGGTTCCTTCACCACCCCAGCCCGTTTCCGACCTGAAGGGGCGTTGTATCGGCGTGAACTATACTACGGGCGATTCATGACAGGCATTTCTACGACTCTAAAGCCACTACACCCGTTTCTATGTGCGAAAATTCCTTCAAAGAAGTGAAAGAAAGCTTGCTGCGAAGCAAGTGGCTCACGCATTACGACCCAATCAAACCGCTTTGCCTCGCCTGCGACGGATCTCCAAGTGGAGTGGGAGCAGTCATCTTTCACATCATGCCAAACGTGAATGAAGTGGCAATTGCTTGTGCCTCCAGAACATCATCACAAAGCGAGCGCAACTACGCACAGATCGAATGAGAAGCCTTTGGTATTGTGTTCGGAGTTATGAAATTCCACAAGTACTTGTTCGGTCGGAAATTCCCTCCTATTACAGACCACAAGCCTCTGGCTGCGATCTTCAACGCCCAAACGGCAATCTCAAGCTTAGCCGCACTACGAATGCAACGCTGGGAACTTATACTTCTTTCGCAAAACTATACAGGGTGTCACAAAAAAAAATTACAGGTTTTTTGTGTTTTTTTTTACCGCAAAACTAAACGCATCACCCAACGCTCATTCTCCGCCCAAAGGGCGCTAGAGGTCACAACCAGATGCCAATGTTTCAGCCCGATCCGATACCTCATTCAAAAGTTATATGTGATTTTTTGAAAATTTAAATGGAAAAATGGAGCCCATTTTTGGCCTGTTTTTGGTTTCTGGTGCCATAGAGCACCACGTATTCGAAAACTCCGTCGGCCGCCATTTTCCCATTGAACTTTTCAGAAAATCACTTTTAACTTTTTAATAAGGCATCGGATCGGGCTGAAACTGTGGCACCTGGTTGGGACCTCTAGCGCTACCTTTGGGCGGAGAATGAGCTTTCGGCGAGGCCTAGTTTATTTTGTGGTAAAAAAAAAGGGAAAGCCGTTTACAAATCCCTGTAACGCCGAATTGGAGCGCAGCTCTTGAGGAGGAGTAGGGAAGGGTACTGAGGGGGGGTCATGTGACTTCGGGGGGGGGGGGGGGGGGGGCACGTGACCTCGGGGGAAGGGAGGGGTCACGTGATCTCGGGGGGGGGGGTGACGTGACCTCGGGGGGGGGGGGGGGGGTCACGTGACCTCGGGGGTCACGTGACCCCCCTCCCCGGTTACGCCGACGCCGCTCAGGCTGGAAACGGGCCCCTAAGAGCTGCGCTCTAAAAAGCCCTGTAATTGTTTTTGTGACCCTCTGCACATCGTGTACCGGAAGTCCAAGGAACACGGCAAGGCAGGTGCCCTATCGCGCTTGCCTTCAGATCTTGCCTCCAGCGATCCAGAGGAAGACACATCGGTACTTCAGGTCTCCAGCATGGAACTGCTTCCCGGCACAAGCGACGAAATCGCAGTGGAAACTAGCAGAGACCCAACGGTATCCAAAGTGCTGAACTTTACCCTGAATGGTTGGCCCATTTCTGTTCAAGATAAGACCCTGCGGACGTAAGTTGAAAAACGGGAGCAGCACTCAACACACCCAGGCTGTCTAATATTGGAGAGCCGAGTTATTACACCACCGGAATACAGAAAGCGACTACTGCATGAAAAAGTCAAATTGGACGTTTAGTGATTTATACAGCGTAAGGTCGATCTGCCAGGATGGGTGACACTGGTTTACACTGTAGATAAGCAATTTTGCCAGTGCAGTACGACTGCTAACCTGGGGTCTTTAACGTGCACCACGCAGTAGTGATGATACACGACCGCACGCCGGTACGATGCTCATCCAGATCGAAACCGGCAGGGGTGGGTCTCGAACCCAGGATGTCTGGGTTCTGCAGCGCGAGCTCTCGCTCGACGTGCGTCGAGCTGGATGTGCGCTTTAGCCAACTCGGCCACCGATCCCCCCCGACTACTGCATGAACTGCACGAGGTTCACCCAGTCGTCAGTTGTACAAGGAAGTCGAAGACGAAGAACGAACAACCAATCGGAGAGCTCGACATGGGTCCGACTTCGGAGCGCGTGGATTGGGAACAACAAATGCCGGCCCGCAGGCGGCCTTTCCGCCAACGCTTGTCTGGGGATCGTGTCTGTGCAGTAAATTGTCGACAATACCATGATTTAAAAGGGCCCGAATGATGAGGCCGGGATAACCGCCTTCGTGGAATGCTACGAACTTGATTGCTACGAAGTCAACACAACTCTCATCGTTGCTGAAAGGAGACTGCCCGTGCCGGTCGTTTGCAAAGCGGCGTAGATAGAAACAAATCGCCGCGGCGTTTTTCGCGGCCTCGGAGACGCAGGAGCGAGACGTCGAAGAAGATACGTTTGAACTACGAGTGTCAGAGGGAGCCACTTAAATAACTCTTCACACTCGGAACGGATGCGCGTGTTTGATCGAAGCGCTGGATACGCGGTGTTAGAACGCGTCTTCGTAAGCGCTTTGGTATCGATATTTTATGATTGCAACTCGATGCTGGCGTGACACTTGGTAAAGGAGGGTTGAACCAGCATCGCGTAGCTTTCACGAACTGTTCTAGCTCGACAGTGTTGATTTGCGGTCGTGTCGGAACAAAACATTTCATACTAATAAAGTGTACATACCATATGCAGCGAAAGTAATCCATACGGCGTTTATTTGAGTCCTATATCACACATAATAAGAGGATAGAATCGATGGGAGTCCCTTTTCGACGACAGCGTTCGTAACCGCCGCCTCGGAAAATAAGGGTACTCAGCGATTAAACTATTCATAATGGAGGAGTCCACAAGGGTCGCACATGCATGTTCCATTCAGCAAGCCAGCCGGTCGTGGGCAGACGGTCTTGGCCAGGAACCGTTGGTGCAGGTCGGAGTGTCCTGCTAGGCCTATATATTCTGCCGAGCTCACCGAGCTAGCCTTTGGCGGTCGCTTGGTCGCTGGTATCGCTGCCGTTGTTGCTTGTTCCGAATGTCTGTGGATCCAGCGTTCATGTCCGTCGTGGTCGGTTTCAAGTACTTCTTTCTTTTTTCTTGCCGCTTGAAGTCGGACATGCGAGAAGAGCACGTAGACAAATAAATGTCCCTTGGTCGTCGCGACCAAGTGAGAAACGCTGTCAGCCATGTTGATTTGACCGTTAAAAAGTGCGTAAGACACCTCCGGAGCTATCGTAGGATCCCATCGTAATATGAGCAAAACTTACCATAATTTCGTTTCGTGAATGCGAATTTGATCTTACGTTTTGTCGTGCGCACATTTTTGCCGTAAGATCGCTTTGTGAATCTGGCCTCAGAGCTGTACACACACACACCCCTTATAAAATGCCGCAGTCATTTGTCTGCAAGTATAACTTCCCACTGTCTAAACATACACAGAAGCTATAAAGCTCGGTAACTGAGACCCCTGGTAGCGGTTTGTGGACAGATGAACGTTCGATTCTTGTGATGTTTATACAGTTACAGCTGTAATTTTTTAAAGGTTTGATTAGAAATACAGGGTACCTGCTTATATGATCCCTACGTGCGTTAAGTGAGCTTCCTAGAAACCCCCGAAAGCGTGGGCGTTTTCTTAAGGGCCGATAAAAAAATAAGGGTTCTGATATATCATCATTGTTGCGCATAATCTGCATTTAGAGACTCGTCTTTTGTTCACTTTTTATTTATATATGTATATATATATATATATATATATATATATATATATATATATATATATATATATTTATTTATTTATTTATTTATTTGTTTTTTTAGTTTTAGGCAGACACAAGATTGACCTGACAGCTAAATGGTGTGAAACTCGACGCCCCGTTCAGATCGATCGGAAACAAGCTACGATTATGTAAGTGTTTGAATGGAAAACTTTCTTGGCGTTACCTAAAGAAATCAAAGCACAGTGCGATAATATTCTTTGTGGAATTTTAAATGGTACATTGTTCAAATCCATTAGGGTGGGAAGTGTTCTCATTTGAGGTGAATTGTGAATGATACTTGGATAAAATTAAGTTTGTCATCAAACCACCAGGTTGATGGCTGCACGAGCACGACCACAACATCGAAGTTATTTTTGTTCCTTATTCCTATAGCCCTGAACAACAAACGTATTGCACCGGAACACCTAAAACAAAAAAATCCAATGCGATTTTTTTTACGCAGGACGGTTGTACATTTACTGCGATATAAGCAGAGCTTTGAAGAGAATGAGTGCATCAAACAAAACTGTTTAAGCCATAATGCATAGTCTGCAATTTGACGAACTGAGCATCAGGTGAGTTGGTGGACCGGCTTGCTCGGTGTCATAAATTGTAGTGTTCAGTTTTCGATAAAAACGCAGATCACGGCGAATGACTCTTTGTACGAAGGAAGCTGCAGTGGCATTTTCTTAGCTTATAAAAAAAAAGATGTGCTGAAAATTGCAATACACTCGTGTATGGTAGATTGGTTGTCACCTCACTAAAATTGTGTCATTACAGAGGCATATTTTCTATCTGGATATTTTTCCTGCTATGTGGAACCGGCTACGACCTATACAAGTTGTTCCGAGCCAAGGCAGAGTCCCGGTTTTCCACCAAACCTCAAAAACCAGGTGAGGTCCTTTTTGAAATAGAATCCTCCAGAAAACGCTAGCGTTGAAACTAAGTTATATCTAATCTTCAGCTGAACTGAGATTCCAGCTGTACTTGGATGGCCTGTGTTTAATCGGGCATCAAAAATTGAACTGATACTCTTTCCAAAAATTATTTCGTAGTCCGCAATGCGGATTGAAAAGTCACCTTGGGGAGTCTTCCATACATCACGAAATGTTTGTCAAATAAAGCCTATGCTCCCGTTTTAACATTTTATAGGTTCATTATTTTCATGATGAAAAGTTGTTATCCACGAAACGCAGCCAGGCCTCTACTTATTGGTTCATGGTTTTGCGCCAATCATGAAGGGACAAAATATTTTTTTTAACCCGCCTATTTGTTTGGATTCAAAATGACCATAACGGTCTGGAAAAAATGCTTCAGCACAAAAATATATTGACAGTGTATCGCTAATTATAAGATGCAAAAATATCCTTTATCTTACGTATCAACGTAATTGCGAAGTTACGGCACAAGCGTATTTTAAAGCCCTAATCCCAAGGCAGTTTGCACCTCGATAGTAGTAAAGGCAGGATAACACATCGTGCGTCTCTAAACAAAATATCCACCTTCCGCAATAAGTATATCAGGATAAAACAAGCTGGTACGCATCCCTTTTTTTTAATTAATTGTCGATGCGTGTAAAAATGTTTCTTAAAATGAATATCAGTTAAGAGAGAAGCTCTATTCTTGAATATGAAACAAAATAATCCACTGTAAAACCGCGGTCCCACTGGTAATACATCATACAAAAGACAGCTTGCAGACTTTGTCAGAGCCTTGCTTCTTCCTTGTGTAACAGTTAAATAATATTAGTCATACAAAAAGATGCCCGCAGACTTGTACGAAGCATACTTATGAATGAAGAATGGGAGAACTACGTGTTCCCTGCCTCCCCATCTAGGCCTAAATCAGGTAGGCCATGGGGCGTCGCCATGTCGGAGTGCGTCCCGGATGCGAGGCGAAGCCGTGTTCCCTTGTGGACGGCTTTCCCTCGCCCTTCTCGGGTGATTTGCCTAAGCATACAAAGCCTGGCAGTGCGACGACGGAGCCATTGAGTTCCCGGTCGCATATTTAGACCGCGAGGATCTGGTAGTACAGAGCATTTTTCGGAGAACCTGGTCGTCAGAGCACATCTTTTGCAGCGGCGAGGACCCGAGACGTAATTTTCAAACCCGACGAGAAAAGAAGTAGAGCGAGGAACGCGAGGAGCACGGGCGGACATTCTATTGCTCGGTAGAAGTGTGTTTCAGCGCCTCGCCGCAGCGGGGCGCCCGTCACGTGGCTCTCCTCTCGTTCGTTGTCTGCCGCTCTACCTCTTCAATTTCGGCGGCCGCCTCGCGTAGAGATCTGCCAGGCAATAGCCTAAGGCACACGCTTCGGGACTTTGATAGTTGGACGCGTCCGACCCTACGGGAAGCCAATTCGTACTTCCGAACACCCCAGGTTCTTCCATTCCCGCAGGCTATATAAGACGGTCAAACCAACGTCCCAGGGGCGACTCTCGCTGAAGGAGGCTCTGCTCGACGGAGCCTTCCTTTCTTGTATGACCCCCCTTCTCGGCTGCTCTCAACAGGGACAGCGCAGACGACTCTAAGTGGTGACACTGTCAACAGAAACAGCGCCGTTATCTCGGACTTTGTTGGCTCTCGGGCAAACGTGTGGCGCATTCGTCAATAAAACACGTCATTATCCGGACCCAAGGAACCTACTGTGTTTCTACGTGGCACCCCAAGGGGGAAACCTACAAAACATGGTTCGAACATGCTTGAGAAGTGTCCACAAATAATTATATCACTATGTCTGCAGCAGGTAATTCTATCGTACCTTTTGTATCATGTATGCATGAGCCGTGCGATTGCGACATTATGCGGAGAGCACGTCGTCTGCTTCTTGTGCAGGAGTTGCGATGACGTCAGAATGACGCCGAGCTCTGATTGGCTTTGAGTGAAAGGATAGTGGGTAGACCTCAATGCTAGAAGCCTTGAGATCTACCCCCTATTTTTTTTTTAATCAGCCAATAAGAGCTCGGAGTTCGGATATGATCGCAGCCCCTGTGCAAGAAGCAGACCAACTTGCGCTCAGCATAGTTTCCAGTATCTCATTCTACACTTCTTTTCGGATGACAAACCTGACCCTTGCAATATGTAGTATGAAAAAGAAAGGGATGTCGTACGTAAAATCGAGTTTATGTAATTCAAGAAGCTTCCAGCAATATCGAAGCATGTCGTCTCTTGTATTCCGACCAGGCCTCCTGTCCAAGGTGCTCATGGGCTTCTCGCTTCGCCGTGCCGCTCTCAAGCTGACCAGCGTGCCAAACTGGGGCGACTACAGCAATGATCTGGGCTTCGTGCACGGCATGCGTGTCTTTTCGGCCACCTGGGTCATTCAGGGCCACCATTACGTCCTCAGAGATATCCATCACAGCTGTACGTGGACACACTCACCCGTACTGCGGCGCGATTCCGATAAAACGCGAGACGCGAATACTTCGGAATCTGGTCCATGTGCGTCGAAAGAAGACACGAATGGTGCAGCATGAGACTGCTGCACCATTTGTAAAGTCACTAAATAAGCTACGCTTCAGAGTAACCATACTGCACCAATCTTGATGCTTAAAATCACTGTTTCCAGTTATCTGAAGCTAGAGTCACTGTATACGCTTTATCTAGTAACGTTTATTTAGTGCCTCTATAGGGTGTCCCAAGAGAACCTTTGCTGTAAAACGAGCCGGAAAAATCGGCGACCGCACATAGAAGGCTTAAACTTTCACCGAATGAGCACTGGGCAGGCCAGCTTTACCGTTCGCTTCCTGCGAAAAAAAATGAGAGCAAAACACTCGCCAAGGTCGAGGTTGGGCGCGTTCGCAGACAACCGAGTAAGCAACGCTATTTACTTGTTCCGCCATCTCCCGACAGGCGCAGCGACCAGACAACAGAGTGCGTCGTCGATATTAATCTTTATCTGAAATCGCAGGAAGCGCTTTTCCATAGCCGAGAAATGTCAAAACAGTCTGCGATAGAGAAAAACGATCTTCACTATAGCTTCCTTACACCATATCTATACAAAAGCTCAGCAAGTAGCATTTTCCAATCGTAACGATCGCTAATCGCTCCCGCTATATACCCTAGGCCCCAAAAGGCGGCGCCCATTAAAAACTCGTTGGGGAATAGAGTGACTGGACTCCAGACGTAGCTTATTTAGCGGCTCTGTAGTAAACAATATTTTTCTTTTAAGAAACGGAAAACAGTCACATGTAGGAAATGTCTCGTATCTGTGGAAGTAGAATGTGCCCCATGGTATACGTATACGGCCTGCAGCAAGTTGAAGGAATTCTCACGGCACACACCGACACCGCCTATACTCGTATTCACCTCTAGAACCCTGTGAGAAAAAAAAACAACCTCCGCATCCTCGCGGAACGTTACTAATTAGTAATTTCCCCTTTCATGCGTCGGTTTAAGATATATGTTACTACATAATAGATTATAATCACGTTATCTAACCAAGATGTGCGCGTCTCAAACGTCAAAAGCCTCGTTTCTGCCTTTGACAATCAAACCTTTTAAGAACTACTTCGCACAGCGCAAACATAAAGCGCAAAACTTAATCTTCTTTTTCATGTAACAACAGTACAGATAGCAAAGCATATACTGCTGGAATTCCTACGTCGTGACCTATTGGAGTACAGCGTGGGACACAGATTGGACACGAGTGCTGTGTCAGCGTTCGGTTGGGACTTTTTACACCACTACGCTTGTTGTCGCGGTGTTCTTTCGTATCTCTTCCAGGCAGGTGTTTCGCGGCAGTAACTGTTACCAAATACAAAACACGAATCTTGCGAGTTCATTTGTCGTACGGATTTCTTGCAGCCGACATGCTGTTGTTCCTGAGACGAATCCAGAGCTTCCTCTTCAGCATGCAAATAAATGCGTTCATGGCAGTCGGGAGTTTCTTCATTATAACGTACGTACGCAGTATTTATGTTTTTAGATGCGCGCGTGTGCGTCACTGAAAAAGGGCTCAAATTTTCACGTGGTCGGCGGGAAGTGGTATTCGAATGAATGTGTCGTAGAGGGCACGTCCGCATGCATCGTGCCTATCTTTGTAACCTACTCTGCTCCGATTCCGCGTGGTTTCCGAGGCTCAAAGAAGTGTGAGCTGTTGGTCCCTAGCACTAGAGCCGAAGCGTTGACTGCTTTCATTTATAAAATATATTGTTTTATTTTCTATTGAGCATCGGACCTTTAGCTCCAAGCTCTCACACTACCGCTCCGGAACTCTAAGACAATAAAACAAAAAGTGCGACAACGCCAAAAAAGTTCGCTTGTGTATGTTTTGCGTCGTCCTCGGGTTACTTGAGGCCATTAAAACACTAATGCACCTTTTCGTGAAGTGAGCTGAGTAGTCTGGCCTTGGTTTGGTGATGGCTTGAAAGCTGTAAATGTTTTATTGCGGCAATTGAATTTTCTCGTGTTTTAAATCTGTTAGTATTTGGGTGGGTTTTTTGTTTTTGTTTTTGTGTTTTGGGCTTTTTTTCCTTGACGGTATTACTTCAGCGCTAACAAACAAACGGCATTAAGCGCTCGTCGTACGTCATGGTAAACGTGCGCAATTATAGCCGAGTTTAAGAGAAGAGTTTGATATCTGTGAGCTTGGAAACTGCTCTGGCAGGCGACCGGACCCGAAGCTACCATATGTGACAACATGATTAGGTCGGATGCCCCAAAACAAGGACAACAGCTTCGCGAAATAGTTTATGCTTTTAATCTCAAGGAAATACAGTCGTGTTCACGCAATCATGGTTAGTTCCTGACAGCTTTAGAGCTTCAGCGCGGGGCGTGAGTTATTATGTTCAGGCATCTTGCCTATGAGAAGAGCAAGTTGTCTGCTTCTTGCTCTGGAGTTGCAGTGACATCAGAACGACGCCGAGTTTTCATTCGCGGGTTGAAAAAAAAAATAAAAAAATATTGGGTAGACCTCAATACTAGATGCCTTAAAGTCTTCCTCCTATTTTTTTTTTTTTTTCAATGAGCCAATGAGAGCTCGGCGTCGCTCTGACGTCACCGCCACTCCTGCTCAAGAAGCAGACGACTCGCCCTCCGCATTCGTTCTGGTGCATTCGTATCGGCTGATGGCGCAATTCCATTGGTTGCGAAAAGGTAATGAGATCCTCGAAGACTCGCCACACCTTCCATTTCTGAAATTTCCGGCGACTTAAAAGGCAGTAGACCCCTTTTATGAATATATCAATTTCGTATACAGCACGTCAGGGCCGTAACCCGGGGGGGGGGGGGGGGGGGGGGGGATAGGGGGTTCTGACCCCCCCCCCCCCCCCCCCCGAAATTTTTTTCTGGGTACGGCCCTGGTCGGTGCACAGGCAGCCAGCCGATTTTAATCTCCACCTCTGCGCACGCGCAGTGGCGCCGGTCGGCTACCGGGTACCAAACCGGGACCGGTTCTCCGGTTTGCTGTAACGCTCCATTATATGCCACCGATGCACATGATTCATAGGCGAAAATAAGACGACAGACACTTTCAAAATGGCCGCCGTTGTCCCCGAAACCCCCCCCCCCCCCCCCCCCGAAATTTTTTTCTGGGTACGGCCCTGCAGCACGTAGCCTGTGAGATAACTTAATTAAATACTACACGCACAGCCGGTACAGCTTACCGACTGCATGCAAAATATATTTTAAAAAATTGGGTGCTAAAAAAATGTAATTTAAATTACGTTTTATCGTTTATGTCTCATTGTAACTTCTCATGGGTACAGTACGATAGAAGCGTATGCACTTGGGCTAGTTGGTGATCCATGTAGGTGAGGTTAAAAGCGCTAAAAACAACGGACAAGTAAAAGAAACGTACAACACAGAGCGCTAATACGATGGAAACTTAAAACACCTGTTCTTTTTTCTTTTTTTTTTTTTTTTTTTTTTCAGTGGCTTTCTTTCCGGGTATCTGATGGCAAAGACGCCGCTAAGAAAAACTCCAGCCCTCTTGCTCGTCCTTTTTGTCCTCGTCAGGAGATACATCAGGTAAGTGCGGGATATTTTTTGCTCCCTCCGTTACTCGCGTATACGAGCTTTATGGTAAATACTCGACGAGAAAGTCGGCGAACCCGCCGACTTTCCCGTCGTGTGTCTACCTTAGAGCCCCTGTATATGGTGCTCCTTGAGTAAGGACACATGCGGTGCAGCAACATTTCCCGAGCAGAAAGTTGAAATTAGATTATATATTCTTATAAGAAAACACAGTTCAGACTCTGTTTAGTGAAATATAAGCACTAAATCGTTCACCAGCTCGCTTGCGCAAGTAACCCTTATTTCAGCATCTTGTTTGTTCTTTAGCTTTAAAATGGGTGAATTCGTATACTCTACGAACATGAACAGAGCAGGTTGGCACAACTGGCTTGAAACAGGAAAGGATAAAACACAAAGGGACGGACACACACAGACCAGGACAGTTCTATCATCAAAGAACTTCAAAGAACTGTCCTGTCTGTGTGTGTCCGACTCTATGTGTTTTATTCTTTCGTGTTTCAAACTTTGTTTCAACTTAGGATAGAGCGCAGTCGATGTATGAGCCAAGAGGCCAATCGAAACACAGCCAAAAGCGTTATGTCACAACATTCGCCGTCTTTCTGCGCGTGCTCCTCCGCCGACTCATCCAACCAAGCGCACAGGGTGCGGCGTTACATTGCAGTCTTATACCCCTATCAGACGGTGAACTTAAAGTCCCTTGATACTTGTTCTACAAGTAACGACAACGGCAACCAATACAAATGGCATAGCACATTCCGCTGGAACAGAATAACGGCATTCAGTTCAATCCTCTGCTGTGCTCCGCCATTCGCTTCCTAAAACTTGCACCGTCACGCAGTCGGCGCTTCAAGAAAATGTCGCTAGTTGCACGAAGCTTTTATCTAGGGACTTTAGGTCAACTCAAATAATACCCTTTAGGCCAAAGGCCTGTGAGATTCCGAAAGGTCATTGAAGCTTCCGGGTGTCAGACGTCTCTGAGAACATCTCGACTGTCATTTAGGAGACGTTTATTGCAATTGTGGTCTTCGATTTGTTGGAGACAACGGTCACCCATTTAGCAACACAAATGGCTCGAAAGTCAAATAAAAGAAGTCAAATTCGGGGGTTTTACGGGCCAAACCAACGACGGGCATCTGGCACGCCCCAGCTGAGGACTGAGGATTAATTTCGACCACCTGGGGATCTTTTGACGTGCAGCTGAAAGCTCGGTTACACGGCGTCTTCTCCGCAATAAGCCTCCGTCAGATTGCGGGCACCTCGGCCAGGATTCGAACCCGCCATTCGGGAATCCGTAGGCCGACGCTCTCGCCTCGGAGCCACCGAGGCGGCTAACTAATGGCTCGATAAAACAAAATCGCTTATGTATTGCCATTTATTTTTGTCAACAATATTAGAAATTGCGTTTATATATATATATATATTTTTTTTTTTTTTTTTTTTTTTTTTTTTACGGTTACACGTGTTGTTTTTGCTCACGAAGCAACTTTGCTTGGTACCGGCTGGTACGAGCCGCTCTAAAGGCAACTATGATGTTCCCTCGCAAAAACTCTCCATTGTTCCTCGGCTTGTGAGTTTGTTCTATGTCCGGTTCGTCGTCTGCTCGGTCTGCTCTGTTTACCCCACCGATTCTGGTAGTGCCGACAATGGAGCCTTCGGAACCGCCAGAGAGTCACGTCGCTGTTCTTCTTTGTATGCACGCGCAGAAGCAAAGCTCCTTGGCAGCCATCCGAGCTTCCGTGTCATCGGCAAAAAGCGAAGCCGGTCGCTTGGAGGGCCAGATGCTGGCCCTCCAAGCAGGATACAGAAGAACACTGCAAAATTAAAGTTAAGTTATAAAACGAAACCACAAGCGAACAAGAAAGAACACAAAAATGAAATCAAGGGCGAAGAGATAAGGAGAACAAAGAGCACAGTGACGAGCAATGACGAGTACGAACAGAAAGGAACAAAGCAGGACGTGATTGCTGTGCCCACAAGTATATATACATATACAGGGTGTTTCACGAAAAGTGGATAAATACGATATTGCGAAAACTAAGCGTCGCATCAAAAAAAAATGTTTGTGTCGCTTTGGTCCTGGGCCATGGGCCTATTTAGGAAAATTATTAAAGTCCGGGTAAATTAGATTGTTAATTATTTTTGCGTAATTAACTTTTTTTTTTATATTGTGTTTAAGGGTTTGGTTTCAATTATAAACTTGCTGAGCATCATCGACAAACACGAGATTAATAAATTGCAGAATGATGGAAGGCCCGCGCGGCATTTTACGGCTTTCTGAAAAACCGCACAACTTCGAAAGGTTTTTAAGTTTAGGTTTGCAATCGGAGCGCTTCTCGGCCTCGACGGCACCGCGCCCCGTGGAAGAATAGTGCAACCAGCCTCTGCTGCGTTGCGCGAGGATAGCGCAGCAGAGGTTGGTTGCACGATTTCATTTTTGTTTTGTTTTTATCGTCGGGCCCAACGCCGCCCGCTTTTCGAGAAACGGGACAAGGCTTTCGCCTTAATAATAAAATAACATTAAAAACTATTATTAAACTTATTGTACACTTTAAGTATACTCTGCAAATTATTTTGCTTTTGTTTTATAAAAGTACATTGTAAGCTACATATTGCCAAGCTATTTACATGCACCAAAACTCCCTTTATTTTTAATAGACAACAATATTTTTAAGTCGTTTCAACTCTCTCAACGAAAGTATTATTACTCCCGTTTCGGGCATAAGCCCATAATAAAGTAGACTTAGCTAAATTCACTTTCTATATTTTTATATGTAACTCTACATAGTTAGGTGTAGTAGAACCAATGCCGGTATGTGCCCAACGTTATTTATGATTCTTACCGAAGCTTCCTTTTATTTAGGCTCGAAAAGCGAAGCTTGCCGCGGTCGAAGAGAGTTTGCTTATAGGAAGTATTCACTGGCGGCCATAGCTGTGTGCGCGACTGCTGAGCGCGTGCTGATGGCTAGCTTCCAGGATTCTTTTGCAACGTGCATTCCTTACCGCCAAAATGGTCGGTCTTAGCAGCCTATTAATGGGGGCTTGTTCTGAGCATGCACTCTAGACAGCACCCACAAATATGGCGCCCAGTGAATACTCTTTATACCCTAGTTACACGAGCACACTTCACTTAACCACTTTTTGTGTGAATGCAGTTAAAGCCGGCGCACGTAAGCTTGCGCATCTTGAGTGCGCATCAAATTGGTGAATTTTACTTTCCTCAATGGCCATAAGTAGAATGTCAGACTGTCAAGTTTTATGGTGTTGGTTTCAAGACGCTAGGACGCCAAGCATCTTCAACGGTGCTTTTTAGACACCATTGAAATTATCCCTCGCAATCGATAACCCCGGTCGTGATGTCACAAATAGAAACCACAAAAGGAAACCACCCAAACATTTCGCCGCCAATAGTTTACTGAATATGGTAAGGCGTGACTTCACTGTTAATAAGGGTGCCCGTTTAACGAGGGTTTAACTAACCGCCGAATTCACAAACCTCACTCCAATTGAGGGGCCCATACACTTCCTTGAGGAAGGCGCGAGGGCTGGCGCTGGCCAATCGCGATAACGGATCTGTCGTCATGATTGGCTAACGCCGACCCTCGCGCCTTCCTCGAGGAAGTGGAGGAGTGAGGTTTGTGAATTCGGCGGTAAGGCACCCGTTGGCCGGCTGCCAAACACCTGCACCCCGAGCTCCGCCGGCCCCTCAACGCAACTTCGACGAAAAACACCAACAACAAAGGGACGAAAAAACAAGAGGGACGAGTGAGGACTCCGAGAAGCTCCGAAAAGATTTCGTCGCCTGCAAAAACGTCAAGAAAAAAAAAAAGAAAAAAAGAAAGGGGGTACAAAGAGAGGGCTTGGTGACGCTAGGTACGGCGCCGCGTGCCTGGAAGGTTGAGACTGCAAAGTTTGCGTCAGCAGCGCTCATACAACGCAGTTCTGAGTACGACGGTTTGTTCGAAAATTTGAAATTCACCCCAAAATTTCTTCTTCATCTTTATGCAGATTGATCCCGTCCATGCTGGCCATTCTGGGCGTCGTATACCTGTTTCCCCTCCTGATGTCCGGGCCCTATCTCAAGGACAACAAAGTGCTCGAGACTGCACCGTGCGACGCGAACTGGTGGCGGATCCTGACCATGACTCAGAACCAGGTGCACAGCCAGAGGGACATAGTAAGTGAAACGGCGGTTCACGCCCTATAATCGTCGTGCCTCTATATACTCCCTTTCACTTTGAGTCCGACGACGACGACCCTATGGTCCAACCAAGCCAGTCAAGCAGCGCCAAAAGAGAACAAACGCACGAAGCGATGAGCGCTGTGTGATGCTTCACTTTTGGTAACGCTTGTCCGACCTCACCTCTATTCTGCGCCACGTTCTCAAAACTACGGCTATAACTCCCACAATGCCCCGCACTGCTGCTCGAGCACGTGGCATTGTCTCGCGTCTCGTTCGCGCGTGTTCGCGCAACTGGCTTCGACAGGGTTATCGTACCGGTGCAGAAGCGTACTCTAGCCTCGACAGCGTATAGCACAAAATAGTTGATGCCGAATATAGTTTAATGGAGCTCGTGCGCTCATGCATAAAGCCCGATAGTTTCCCGGAAAATGTTTCCTCGCAGAGGGACAGAAAGGTGCCTATTATTTCCGAAAAGAGTTCAACGAATAAAACCACCGACGTCCAATAGCCGGATAAGCTGAACACCCGAAATAACGCGAAAAACCCCTCACCCATCCACAATGAAAAAAAAAAAAAAAAAAAAAAGTTTGGCTCTAAGCTTACTAGTTGCGGGGGCTGTTCCCAAATTGTTTCTGAGTTTGGGGGAATTTGCTTCGAGAGAAAGAGAGAAATAAAATAAGTCATCCTTGTGGAGAGACGGGTAGCCACAATAACGACGCCGGCTAATTTGTTTAAAATCCCTGGACACTGGCTAACTAGAAACGACAACAAAAAAATTTGAACTTTCGTCATTGCTCCCGCGTTGTATCACTCTTTACCGTCAGTTCTATTTATTAACCGATCACTGAAATAAGTTCCTTCCTGGTGAACGCGCAAACGCTCCAGTTGACACAAATTTGGTTCCGGTGCGCGCAGCGCCTCGTGTGGGAACTCCGCGTTGCCCACCAAACCTCGTGTGGGATCGTCCGGACACGGCTCGTTGCCTATTAGCGCCGAGATGTTTCGGTGGCGCACTCTTATGGTTTCCATCCGTGACGTCACGACTGGGATTTGCCTCGCCGTGACGTCACCAGTTGTTATCCTGCCTACTTACCGTCAGGTGCGACGACGAGTTCGGTGGTGTGTTTAAAAAGCACAGTGGAAGCAAGGAGCCAGCGCAATCCGAAACCGCCACAGTTGAGAATCTCACAATGCTCATAGGCCCATGGTTTGGCCAATCGTGGAAAGCTGACCGCAGCGACGCTTTTGGTCGCGCACATCGCTAACACACGCCGTTCTTGGCGCGTTATCTGTGTTGGCCTTTTGATTGACGTGCCCATCCTTAGGTTTTGATGCACCAAAGACATTTTGTGGAACACTTGCCTTGTTAGTGGCGCATCAAAGTATCGGCATACACGGGGTCTAATTTTCCCTAAGTTTCATTGCACGCACGGAGAAACGCGTGTGTATTCGAGGCATCGTAATCGAAAATTTTCCGCGTTATTGATAACGACGTTTGCGGGACAGCGCAAACACGTCCCTCTGTCGGGAAAACTAAACTAAATGTAAACTTGTCTCTTTTTTCTTTTTTTAAGTCCGGACCGTGTTTTTTTAGCAGCCATCGCAATGAGATAACATTTTGCAGAAAGTATGTAACGTTTCAAACGCCTCTATCCCGCAGTGCATGCCCCACTACTGGTACGTCTCCGTGGACTTCCAGCTGGCGATATTCAGCTCCATTATTCTCATCATGATCATGCCGAGGTAAGAATTCGCCACATGTCGTCGCGTTGGCGGTTACGTCACGAGGAAACGTTTAAGCATTGCTGACCACTTGCGACAACGCGCTTCGATTTTTTTAGGTGGCCGAAATTGGGTCTCGGCGTCATGGGCGCTATTGTCGTCGCCACTTCCATCGCTACAGCGGCGGTGACCTACGCCCACAACTTCTTGCCGCTTCCACTGATCCTGACGTCAAGACTCAAGTAAGATTTATCTAGATTGTGTGGACTAAAAAAAAAAACGTCCAGTCCAGAAGTTAAAAAACAAGATATGTATATGCATGCGCACAGTAAAACCGGTATGGGCACCCTGCAGATCTAACTTAGTGCCGATACGCGCGCCTCTCGCGGCGGCGTCGCGCGCAGTTGTCCGGAAATCACCTCGGCAGTCGCAGCTCGACCGCAGTGGTACACGGGTAGCTGTTGCAAGGTCGACATGCCTGCTTGGGCAACCACATTGGCGGAAGCGCAGGAGCAGCGGGAGCGGCGGCGGAGCTTTACCGCTCTCCCTACGCTGACTCTAATTTGAGACGATGTTTCTCTACTTCGTATCACCTTAAGGCTCGTTCACACTCTTGCGACCTCTCAGAACTAGGTGCCTTGAATCCTTTTAATATCTCTTACAACGAGAGGACACACTGGCTCCATCTATTGAATAGCAGTGTAAACTTGGCGGTCCGGCATATTTTCTGTTTTTCTCGCGCATTATCCTTTCTTTCTTGGCTCGAACAGCTTTTGTCAACGTTATAAACCAGCCTTTCTTATAGGTATTACGTACATTTGACCTCGGAAATTCCGCAAAACCTTCAACTTTGTGAAATGCAGTTCCAGGGTCACCACATAGATGGCGCCAGTGTGTTCCCTCCTCCTAAGAAGTTTTAAGAGGTTTCAACAGGTCTCGTCTCTCTCGGTTGCACTCGGTCGCAAGAGTGTGAATGGGCCTTTAAAGGCTCGTCCACACCCTTGCGTGAGTCTGACCGAGTGCGGCTAGCTGCAAGGGCCCGCGGCGTTAACCCCTTAAAGGGAAGATGGGGCACTTCTGCATTTGAGAAAAAACAGTTGAATTGCGTTCATTTGGCCTTTAGAATAACAGATATCAAAATTATGTTTCAATGCGACGCGCCGGAGTGCCATAAAAGCAATGTCAGAATAGGGCTGAAGCCCCGCCTCCCTAGCCTTGAGCAGCCAAAAGGTCCGTCGATGACGTCACGTACAGCGGCTGTTTTTCGCGTTTTCTCGCGTTTAACAATCCTGCGCAGCAAATGGTTCGGGTATTCGGGTTCACGGGGTAAAAATACACTAGAATTCACTTCTAACTCATTTTTTTCAAGAAGCTCCGTAGCTTCCTTTTAACGGGTTGCTATGGCACCGGGGTTTTAAGGCGCTTACAAGGCGGCTTAAAACCCCGTTGCTTAGCAACCCGTTTAAGGGTTAACGTCGCATATCGTTTAGTTGGCCAAAAAAAAAAAGAGGGTAGAAAGTCAACAGCCAGCTTCTCGGTACGAACATTTGAGAATCTAGCGGACTATTTTGTACCTTCTTTCCTTCGAAAGCTCTCCGCCTTTTCACTATGATACATCCGCGGTTCCCAAAGCGCGTCAGCGGTGCCAACCTGACATCAGCCGAGCCCAGCTCACGCATTGGACACGAGAACTGCGTCACTCGGACGTATGCGCTTGTCAATAATCAATCTGTCCTGGAATATTCGGATTCGCGTTCGTGGCCAATGAGTGCCCTGACGGAGCTTATCGTCACTGGAGAATGACAAGTTCTATGCTGTCCATAAAAAGTACGATGGAAGCTAGGAGTCATCGCACCGGTGCTGAAGAATGTCACGACGACGTAATTTCACAATTCGCATTTGAGTTGAGGATTAAAACTAAGGAGGAAGAAGTAGGAAAATCGTTTCATGACCCCTTTAACCTTTAAGTCAGAGGGCTGTCGATGTAATAACTCTATGGCCCGTACAGCCGGGAAAAACAATTGGGTTGTGTGTGTGTTTATACAGCCTAAAACTTCATCTGCCTCCAAGGGCGACGAGTGTCCCAGCTGTAGATAAGCAGTTTAGCCAGTGCAGTACAACCGCTAGCGTAAAGTCTTTAACGTGCATCACGCGGCAGTGATACACGACCGCACGCCGGTATGATGCTCATCCAGATCGAAACAGGCAGAGGCGGGGTTTGAGCCCCGTATCCTGGGCGCGATCCTGGGTTCTGCAGCGCGGGCTTTCGCTCCACGTGTTCCAAGCTGGTGTGCGCTAGCCCACTCGGCCACCGATCCCCCTAGAGATCCCCCCATACAGCCCGGGCTACATATCAATCCAGCGAGCGCGCGCTCGAGCGCTCGAGAGCTGACGAGCGGACATATCGTTCCCGCGAAAAACAAAAGAAAAAAGAAAAAGAAAAGCTTAGTTTGTTGTTTTTGTGTCGATTATTGCAGTATATTATGTTCCCTTTCCGCGAAAACAAAAAAAAAAAAAGACCGCATCTCCACGTGGTGAATGATGTTGATTGGGACGAAGCTCTGGTGGTGCTGATGATACGGATTTTGTTCATTGGTAGTGCTGATTGTGCCGATTTTTTTTTTTATTGCGCATAGGTAGTGCTGAGTTCCGGGTAGCGTTTCGACTTCATTATTACTGCTTTATGGTCGGTGAAATGAAGAGCCAGTGGTTCTTGTAGTGGAACAGCTTGGATTCGCTAGATGTCATAAAGAGAATGTGTGGTATGGATCGTGGTTATATACGCAGTTGAGTATTTGACCGCAGCGCCATCTCGTCTATAAACATTGAGCCAATGCATGCAAAGTTTAACGCGATTATATACGTATTTGACCGCAGCGCCCTCTCCTGTATAGACGTTGAGCGGCTACATGCAACGTTTCATCCATGACATTCCCAGCTCTTGAGTTACTACCACATCTCAGAGCCCCCAACTCGTCCCGCAGCCGTCGCCGAGTGGTTAAGGCGATGGACTAGAAATCCATGGGGGTCTCCCCGCACAGGTTCGAATCCTGTCGACTGCGCAAACATTTTTGATGTGAGCACGGACGCCGGACAATGCTAGACCCTAAGGAGCTTCGCCCCTAAAACATTTTTCGACTACTCTCACTTGCTTTCATGATCTACAAAAGCATACACATTTTGTAATAACAGCGTTTGCAATCTCAACGAAATGTCGTGGTTTCATTGGTCACATGCCGTCCTGGCATGCCGGCACAATGCCCCTGCCATCGCCGGACATAATTTCGATCTTTTATTAATTTTTTAATAGCGAAATCGGCCGCGTATCGTCATGATTTAGGGATTCCGAGGATGCTTAGAGCCAGCAGAGTGAGTTATCGCCATATTTAGGCGGTCTCAGAAACCTTCTTAGGAAACCTTTAAGTTGTCACCGACTAGAGGACGCCTGCCTCATACAAAAACGTGACTCCGATCGATCGTCCCGCTGCGCCACAGGGCCATACTCGACACGAACCTGGATGTTTACATGAAGACCTACCCTCAAGCGCCGTCGGTCTTCACGGGCATCATTTTCGGCTACCTGGCCGCCCAGCCGCGGAAGCTGCCCCGCAAGGTGCAGGCGATCTGCTGGACGCTGGCTGCCCTGTTCGCCTGCTCGGCGCTCTTCGGTGTCCACACCTGGCACAGGGGCCGGGCTCCCGAGCGGCTCGAGTCGGCCTTCTACGCGGGCTTCCACCGCCTCTCGTGGGCCGTCGGCGTCTCCTGGGTCATGTACGCCTGCGCGACCGGTCGCGGAGGCCCCGTGAACAAGCTGCTCTCCTGGCCTCTGTTCTACCCGCTGAGTCGCCTGTCGCTCGCCGTCTACATCGTGCACGTTCTGCTGTTCACCGCCAACGCCATCGTGTCCAGGGAACGCAAGTCTTACATGCCGTTTATTCAGGTGAGTGCACGGACGCGACTTGGCTCGATGCGTGCATTTGTCGTTCACAATGTTTCCCCAGCATAACGAGCTGGACGATCGGCTAGAACGATACGGAGTATTTCCTCGTCTACAAATCGTACCGTTATATGACTCGCGCTTAAATCCCATAAACGGCCGTTTTCACCATAAATGGATATATAAGTCGCACCTTTGCATAACTTCGCACCACGGTCGGCAGAGTAGCTCCAGCTGCGGAACCGTCTTCGGACCGCCGGAACAGCAGGCCATCGGCGGGTGCTATGGTTTAGCTCCTTTGTCGTTAATGCTTATACAGCCCAAATCTCGCAAAGATAAAGTTCGTACTTACAAAACAAAACACAAAAATGCACATAAGTTGCGCTGTTGTATACGGTGCATCGAAAAACAATTGCCTAACAAACCGCAACATAATGTATACACCGCAAAAAAAAAAAAATTAAAAAAGGTAAATGAGTTTGTGGGAAAAGTACGACGGCCCGCTTGGCACAAAACAAAAGTAGAAAATTTACGCCTACACACCCCAACTGACGCACAGCGTGCGTGAGTAACAATTAGAAGTAAACATCTGGACAATATAAAAACTTCTGTGACCGCTGTTTTCCCTCGGTTAATTAATTCGTATCCATGGCTGTTGTCATAACTGTTTTTCTTTGCGCTATCAACATGGCAAGCTCTCTTCTCAACAATGAAGGTGTCGTCATTAAATTTAAAAAATATATTCAATCAATAAATTAACTCATCGTTGTCGTAATTTAGCACTGAAATTGGGCAGTTATTTATGGGTATGAAATAGTAAAATGCCTAAAGGGGTACTTCGGTGATTTTTTAAGCTAGCCGAACCAGCTATATATTCGGAATCACCGGTATGCTCATTTTTATCGCGAAATGCAAATTTTTTTTATTGAGAAATTGGCAAGTGAAAATTATGCCTCAAGCATCATTCAAATATATCCGCGTTTTTGAGTGCCGCGACGTTAGGGGAAGGCAAGCTTGGGGGTCGAGCGGGCAGCCTAAAAAGTGGGCTACGCCGAGCGTTTGTTTCGTGCCGCTGCGCGGATGGTGGAGCGATCTTCTAAAGGCCGGTTCACACATACAGCGGAGCGCTAAGTTAGCGCTACGTGAGCGCTCCAAGGAGCGCTCATGTGGCGCTTCCTAGCGCGTGATGTAGCGCTTCGTTAGCGCTTCAGGAGCGCTCTGTTAGCGCTTCCGAAGCGCTTTGTTGGCGCTCTGTTACCGCTACAGACGCCCTTTGTTAGCGCTCTCACGCTCCTTGTATCGTGCTTGCTGCTGCGGAACAGCGCGTGCACGTCGATTCCGTTGCTGTTGTTTTGTCTTTGGCATTGAAAGAAGAGGAAGTAAAAGAGCCGCTCTCCAAGCAAAGGGTCGGGCACACGATCGAGACTCATGGACTCTGAGCGACTAATTGATTGGGTACGACCTCATCGCTTTCTATTTGATGTGCGTGACCACGGTTTCAAAGAAACGCAGTTAAAAAAATAATCACCTTCGAAAAAGCTCTGTGTCTCGGTCCCTCAGCCTGGGAACAAGGTTCGCCGGATACCCGTCGGTATCTCGGTGGCGAAAGATTTCGCTCACCGAAAAGGCTCTTTTGGGCATTAAATCGTCCACACACACATGAACTAATTGCGTATGCATTTGTCGCATTTATATTTCATATCCCACACGTCCGCCGTGGTGCAGCTGATGTACACCCAACCACAGGAACCGGAACCGCAGTGCACGCGCTAAACCGCAGCACCGCGGTAGAAGAAGCGGTTCTTAAGCGCTAACAGGGCGCTACTGAGGCGCTAACAAGGCGCTACAGGAGCGCTAACAAGGCGCTACTGGAGCGCTAACAAGGCGCTACTGGAGCGCTAACAAGGCGCTACTGGAGCGCTAACAAGGCGCTACAGAAGCGCTAATCGCGCGCTATGTTAGAACTAAGTCACGCGCTAGGAAGCGCCACATGGCGCTCCATGGAGCGCTCACGTAGCGCTAACTTAGCGCTCCGCTGTATGTGTGAACAGGCCTTAAAGCATTCATTTGACAGAATAAAACTGCTCGTAATCAGTTGGGAACAATGTCTACAGTCCAAAAAGTGAACCCTTGTCTTCCGCTGACATCACTTTTTTATCGTGGCCCGTAGAGACTTTCACTTTGAAAAAAACAAGGCGAGGACCGAAAATGTAAATTCAAATCCCTTCGCAAGAAAAAAACAAAAAAGGTGAATTTCGGCCCATTATTTGGGTTACTATTTCAGCGATGCTTGTTGGTGTTCCTAGCGAATTTTTGGGGAAATCGGGGACTACGAAGAAAACGCCAGAGCACCCCTTTTACTAAGTTCAGCAAGTGCCAAGTTTTGCGTTGCTAACAGGTCTAGCTACGGGTTACCATTCATGGTCTAATAGTACATTTGTCGATTAAGCAATCGAACGTGTTAAGCCGCGGTTCCACTTTGCTAACACATCGCACAAAGGGCAGTCTGCAGAAGCTGTCTGAGACGTCTTTCTTCCTCGTATATGACGGTCCCGCCCGTTTGGCCATACAAAAGCTTTCTACAGACATGTTCGAAGACATATATAAACAAATATGCTTCGAAGATGATTGAGGCCTGTCCGCAGATAGTTCTGTCATACATGTCTGCAGCGTGTGTCTTTTGTACGATGTATGAAACGCGCACTGACTGCGACTTCGAGCCTGCTCACCCTTTGAACGTAGACGCTTTGTTCACCGCAGGGCCAAGATCTCATCTCAGCAACCATCATGGCGTACTTCTTCGGCGCCATCGTGTACCTCTGCGTCGAGTGCCCCGTCGCGGCGCTGGACAACCTGATGTTTGGTGGTGTGAAGGCCAAACAAGATGGCGACAAGGACGTGGCGAAGCAGAACGAGATCCAGGAGCTGAAAAGCGTACACGCGACGAATGGTGTCCTTGGCCACATCGGTAGCTCAGCTTTGAGCAACGGACACTCCAACGGACACTCCGTCGGACACTCCAACGGACACTCCAACGGATATGTGAAATATGAAGATCCCATATACGACCCACCGGAAAGGGACAATACTGTGGCCAACCGAAAAGCAGACGAGGGCAGAAGTGCCCTGGACTCGGCCCATCAAAGAGACGCTGGCGAGAGCGATTCGGCTGTGACAGTCAAATTTTGATTAATTCTCTTATTTAGTTGTGCCCGTACGAGCGTCGAGAAATATGCTTCAGTCATCTCTTGTAATATATTTCATAACGCATTTTTTGTTTTATTTTTCATCGAATATCATACTTCAATGTAATTCAATAGAAAAAAATGAATTACGGTGATTTAATCGCGTTTGTGGTTAATTTGAATATGTTATTCATTCATCTTTTCTTTAAAACGTAAGTGTAATTTAATTACTTCGTTGGCCGTCTGCCTCATTAGCGAGTTTTTTAATAGTGCACGGGAAAGTTTCACGTACGCAAAGAAATACCGTCGTCATCATGTTCCAATCCAAAACGCGGTCTGGCCTCGGCACATGCGCAATGGCGACGATCCCTAGTTCTTTGCGTACGCGATGCTTCTGCGTACACTATTCTAAAACTCGCAACTGCCTTCCTCTTTGCTTGTGCGGCTTTGAACGCGCCAAGACTGCACCCGAGAGACGGCTCCCCCCCCCCCCCCCCCCCCCCCCTATCCTCTTTAGCGGAGCAAACGCTGGAGAGGAGGTCGCCTCTTTTCTAGTGTTCGCTCTGCTAAAGTGCAAAAAGATGGGAGGAGCTTCCACTTCCTTCTTGACCTGTCGCCGACTTTAAAATAGTATAACCTTTAATTTAAGAGTTTGAGTCTCCATTTCATTCTTACGGTGTAGACCACTTTTAAGTTAAATTACAGTGACAAAAAAAAATACTGACAGCAAAATAATAAGACAACTGACTTATTCTTAGAACTTTGCGCCCTATGATACGATTCATAAAACTAGTGTAGCGCAAGCGCAAAACGTGATAAATGCTAACAGAACAGTGAAGAACGTGATGAACAAAAGCATTTCAAGCCGCAAAAATTATATCACGTCAACGTCATTACAGTCGGGCAGCTTTGAAACAAACTAATGGAGAAGTAATTGCATTACTTTCTAAATTGTAACGAACTACCTATTGAAAGCTATTGGGCAAAAATGCACCGAGTGTTTCAGCTAAGAATTTCACTAATTCTTGCCAGTAGGATGGTTAAGAAAAAAATAACTTTTTTCGGAAACGAACTGCTAGCCACGGCGGCGATCGAAAATTGCAAAAAGAAAAACACGAATTATCCAAATAAATACCTAAGTTTAGTCATTAAATTTTTAATTATGAAAATAAACATATAGATTTCATTAGGAGCTTGCTGAACTGTCAAGGCTGTCGATGGAAAAACGCAGTTCTCGTAGCCAGCTTGGTGCCTGCCGCACGAGCGGAAACTTTAACACTTTACACGTGCTTTAAGTCTGTCTAAAATGTACTGATTTAGGAGCTTTCGACAACGCTCAGCAAATTTATAATTGAAGCCATATGCTTATTTGCACTGATTAAAATATAATTAGTAAATTTTAGTAATCATTCAGCTAATTAGTGTGTTTTCTGCAATCCTTGACGTCCGCCGTAGCTGGCAATGTGTTCCCCCCCAAAAAATGTTCTCTTTTTCAACAACTTTATCAGTAGGAGTTCTTGAATTCGTCGCTCAAACACCCGGTATATAAGAGACCGATCTAACCGAGCGTTCCATGCATGCGTGATGCCGCCATAATTGTAGTTCACAGGAGGCAGGCGTCGACGGGTGAGCTCGCGCCGTCTCGTGCTCCGCTCGTGCCGACCCGCAGCAGGTTCGTGTTGCGTGCAGAAAGACTACAGTTCCCACGATGCTTGCCGGCCGCGGCGACGTAGCGAAACTGGCTGGTGAGATCGGTCTATAACCTACTCTTTTTTTTAGGTGGTTATAATTGCAGTAAACAAAAATACGTTTTCAAAGTAATTTATACAAGAATTAGGTCGGATAGCTTGAAGTTTATACCACACCAGCGCGACAGGTGGGCAGGTACGTGTTCCCGGTCCATAATATCCGTCTACCTCTGTGTTTCTGGATTCACCCCTGACGACATTTCGAATCTCGGTAAACCCAAGTAACATGCATCGCGAACACAATGTATTGCTAACTCTATAGTAATTTATCTGACGAAGTTATACGCTAAAGGCCCCTTTAACCGCATCGCTCTTCATGAAAATAGGCCAAGCAGAGATACGTTAGCTCAATTTACCTTTATTGAAAGTTGTGGTCATTCATATAATTTGTTTCGTGAAATAAAAAGTTACTGTTTTGTACTCTATGTTGTTGGCTTTCCAGAGCTAAACAAAAGAGTTCCAACGTTGTTGTTTTTTTTTTTTGTTGTTTTTTTTTTTTTTGCTGCTCTGTTGCTGTTATAGAAATCATTACAGCGGTCACATATGTCAACTGAATAACGTCCAATCCTACGCTACTTTTTGTGTGTGCGTGTTTTCTTCTCACGTGCGTTATTATAAGGGTGTCTGCAATACCAAGCCTCAATCTAAAATGACCCGCAAAAATTGACACTTGCACCTAACAATCTAAACTTTTCGTCAACGCAGTATTTTACAGGAGGATTTCACCTTGTAAAATTACAAGGCGTAGCTCCCTTTTTGTAAAAGGTATGGCAAAAGCACTTGCCCGGGTCAGCGACGTACGGCGACGCAGACGACCGAGTAGAGTGGCGGGGCGCGTGTGGCGCATATATTGATAGATGTCTGTTCCGGTTTGCTGTTTAGAAAGAGATGAAGAGTGCTTGTGACGACCGTGGTCTATTAAAATGAGCACAATTTTTACGCATTATGGCAACTTTCCCACCAACCGTGACAAAAAAAAAAAAGGTCTCGGGAGCAGCGTCGGAAGGTGTAGCCGACCAGCGAAAGAAAGCAGACGACACGCAGACGAAATCCGTCGGCAGAAAGAGCGCCGTCATTGACCCCGTAAGTGATGACGTCACAACATGGCGTTTGGGTCCAAACAAACCGTTGCTAGGGACGTTGCTATGGACTAATGCATGGAGACTCCACATGAGGCTAGGTTTTTGCTTACAAGTAAATAATTTTTTGTAAGCAACCTAACTTCTTGATATCTAATTATGAAGATGTTCTTGTTGTCTCAGTGTCGTATTGCAACAATGAAAGCCTTTCTCAACGTTACTAAAACACTCAGTTGGGAAACTCCCACAGAGGCAGCTTTGAAAAGTGGCCCCAATCTGTCTCCGAGCACCGAGCTAATGACGAACACAACGCCACCATTTCTCCCGCAGCGGCCACTCAAGGAACTGCACGTGACTTCTATTTTGGAGGTTACAGGGGTGCCACCCCCGTCTCCCCGGCGGACGCGCCGCGTCGAACTACCGAAGTTAAAATGCACCTAGGTCGGGACGCGCTACCGGATAGGACCGCTGAGGCATGGTTGTATAAAAACAATATTAATTGTGCCGCAAAACCCTGCAAACTAAAGATTTTCAAAACGTAACGCGCCCCTCTTTTTGTATTAAACTCCAATAAATTTCATACAAAAAGAGTCTTTTCCGTTTGTTTTTACGCAAAAACAGGCTTTCAAAAAGCTCAAGGTGACCACAGTACAGACAAACGATAAAGAGTGGCGCTGTTGTCGCATTCAGCTCGGTCTCGGTGGACGCCAGCGGCCCAGGTTTCGACGGCGAGTTTCCCAACTGAGTGTTCTAGTAACGTTGCCATTTCTGAAGTATTACACTCCGCTTTGCTTTGGTAGCAGACAACACGATAGATTTCCTGGCCTCTGTTATAGCGGGCGTCTTCATTGAATTGCGTCGGTAAACAAGCGTCAAAAACAAGTGCGTCGCCGACGCCGTAAAAGTCTCCGCAATGTGCGTTTTTATTTTTATTTTTTTTCTGTGAAGAACCCAGCTTAGTTTAGGGCGGTGAAAATGCCGTCAAATCAAACCACGTCATGCAGATCAGTTACGACGACGACCTGAAGTGCATTACCGCCTTATTGCAGGCCAGCACGAGAAACAAATCGTACGCTATCGAGGTAAGTCGTTAATTATTATTATTGGGGTTGTCAGGGCATGTCTATCGCACTTTGGTAGTAACCATCGCAGCGATGGTTACAACCAGGTACGAAGCACCCTCGCATAGCGCGAGTCCGTAAACAAAATTTGATTTCTCAACCGATCACTTGAAGTGCTTTTCTCACAGATGCACGGAGTTCGCTTTCACCGCGGCAATAGGCGAGATCGTGGTCACGGTGAACGAATAAAACCGCGCCGAACGTCTCGGGAGATCTTTTAGCAGACGATCATCTCAATCGACGCCCGGAATTTCGATAAGCCATATTTTGCCTCGCACCCCACTATGAATTCTTATAAGTGTCTGAAACTCATTATATTTATAACAAATGCAATATCAGAATACCGTCTTTATTCACATGATCCAAACGACGGCGCCGGCTTGGCCGGCCGACGCGTGTGGCAGACGGCATACTACTTGCATTCGTCGTCTGCTGCAGGCATCGTGACGACCGGAAGTTGCAGTCGTGAATATTTCAGAAACAAGCGATTACCGGCACACTTCTGTCGAAACACATGACATTCAAACTTTCTATATCTGTGATTTTTAGAAGTTTAAATCCTACTCCCGATTTTTGACCGGTCAAGTTTTCGTAATGAAACCTAGCCACATGTATTTGTCCATAACAACGGCCCTAGCAACGGTTTGTTTGGACCCATGACGTCACACTTACGGAGTCAATTACGCTACTGCGTTTTCTGCTATCTTTTCATTTCAAGTTTTGCTATCATTGTCCGCATTTACTTTAAACAAAAGTTACATTACAAAAAATATTAGGTTCATTTTAATAGGCCATAGTCGTCGCGAGCAATCTCGATATTTTTTTTTTAGTTTTTCTTTAAGCAAAATGGAACAAATAGGTAGCGCCATCTAGCAATATCTGCGCCAAACGCATCCCGCCACTCGACTCGGTCGTCTGCGTCGCCGTCCGGCGTTGACTCTGCCAAGTTTTTCGGCCCTATTTTTTACGGAAAGGGAGCTACGCCTTGTGGTTCTAGAGGACAAAACCCGCCTGTGCAGACAAAAAGTTTAGATTGCTAGGAGCAGGCGCCGGTTT